CGTAACACGTAACCTCGCACCACTAATTAGTAGAAAAATACACTGCTGTACCGTACATCGCCTTGCCGTACAGCAGACTTACACAATGGTATGTATAGATTGAACATATTAGGAATAAAAACACCTGGATAAGTCATTTTTACACTTTATTAAATTCTGTAACATTTAACTTAGATATCAGAGCCTGAGGAACTGAGCACCCTGTGGTACAGTGTTAACAAGAAAAATTTCATAATCAACAGCCATTGAAAGAAGTGTCCAATTCACATTCAAGATGATTTCAGTATTATGTTTGACCACCTCGAGCACTAATGACTGCTGCACAACGTCTGCGCATGCTCATGATCAGATTAGCCAATCTTTATTGTGGAATCTGTTGCCCTTCTTCAATATGGACAGCTTCCAGGTCCTGGAGCGTTCTTGGTGGGGCTTGACGAGATTATAGCCTTGTCTGTAGCTGCTCCCAGATGTGCTCTATTGAGTTGAGGTCAGGAGACCTAGCTGGCCACTCCATCTTGGGAATTCCTTCATTTTCCAGGAAGGTAGTCACTGCCCTTGCACGGTATGGACGTCCATTGTTATCCATAAGCAGGAAGTCTGGCCATGTTGCACCTGCATATAGACAAACAATGGGTACAAGGATCTCTTCTCTGTATCTTAGACTGGTGAGACTTCCATTTCGGATGATTACAAGGTCGGTACGGCCTGAAATTGAAATGCCTCCCCACACCATAACTGAGCCTCCTCCAAAGCGATCATGTTCGATGATATTCTGAGGCAAACTGCGCTCACCAGAGCGTCTCCAAACTCTTCTGCGTCTGTCAAGAAAGCCACACAGTAACGGGACTCGTCAGTGAAGAGTACGGCCCTCCATTGTTGCGCAGTCCACCTCCTGTGTTCTCTAGCCTACTGCAGTCGTCCCTGCCTGTGCTGTCGGCTTAAAAGAACATGAACAGCAAGACGTCTATCTCTCGACTGAGCTGAAGGCGTCTGCGTACTGCCTATGTAGACATTCGGACTCCTGTGGCATCTTGGAGGAAGTTACGGAGGTTAACAGCTGGAGCAAAGCGATTCCTTCAGCCTGGATGGTCAAGTAGCGATCATATTGTGGAGTTGTTAGTCTGCTTCTTCCTCCACCATGTCTCCTATTGACTCTGTCAAACCGTCTGAACCTGTCCCAGGCTGTGGATACCACACTTTGGGGTGTGCCAAGAGCAGCAGCAACCCTGCATTGAGTCATGCTTCCCTGCAGCATCACAACAACCCTGTTAAGTTCTGTAGGAGAAAGATGATACCCTTGACCGAAAAAAAGGCATTTTCTGCACTGAATAATCTAAATCAGACCAATTTTAGCATGCAGCGATCTTATATTAAGGACCTCACAATTTCACTGTATGAACTTTCAATTTGGGGGGATAGTCGGAAAACAAAGCCAGGATCCAATCAAAGTCATCCAGGCGTAACGTTTGCATTTGGCAGACAATGTCCAGATAATGGACTTCCAAGCTATGTCTTTATTTTAAAACTGACCTTTATTAACATTAGTGTACCAAATATGTAAAAACATGATCCCTAGCAAATGTTGACTACTGTATATGTTTGATTTTTGATTGGCAGCCAACTTTATGCATAATGTACTATATTATAACAGAAACATCAATGGATTACCAACTTGTTTAATTTAGCTGTTTACTTTAATAAATAAAAAGTTTGAGATGCATATTTTTTTCTGGTAAACAATATATATTTTGGTATTTATTGTTAAGCTTATCTCACCAACTACAAAACTACTATTTTACAATTAAAATGTTCATTAAAAAACCAGTCAGTAGTTTAAGATTTAATTTTAACCAGTAGTGAGAAAAACTACAGCAAATGTTCCTATGCAGTTTTGAAAATCAATTTCTGAGTCTTTGGGATCATTCGGGTCAGAGAATTCATTTATATTCTCATAACCTGTAAAGAAGGAGACTTTAGAATCTATTAACTTTCTCAAAATTATTTTTCTCTTATATCATCCAGTCTGATTTGAGACCAAAAATTAAGTCTTACATTGGAATTTAATTCTTCATATTTCTATGTTAAACCAGCATTGAACAATCACACGGGTAAGTGTGTACAGTGTGGAAAGAAGAAATTCATATATAACCTTGTTTGAAACCCAGCCTAAAACTTTTAAGATATATTGTGAACTCAAACAGAAACTCCATAAAATATGAAGTCACACGTACCTGCACACTAATTGAAGAAAATCTAGTAATTTACTTCAAGTATATATATATATATATATATATACTTTATATATATATATGTACACACACATAAACGGCAATTCAAGTTTTCACTTCAAGATGGGCATGTGTAATAAAACATCAATTGTTTCTCTTTTCAAAAAATATTTTATGTTAAAATGGTTTCCAAGCATCACAGATTACTCCTACATATATGCATTTACACACATGCCTATATATATATACAGTGTCCAAAAATAAACATATCAAAAATAAAGTTAAATAGCTTTATGGTTATTTGAAATAACAAAAATTTCATATAAAGACAAGTAGAAGACTTGTTTTAGTTTTAATAATTAATGGATTTCTACATGTCTTCCATCATTCACCATAATTAATCTAATTCTAAGTTCAAATTCTGAGAAAACATTTTCCAACACAGCAATAGGGATGGATAAGAGAACATCACGAATCCGATATTTCAGTTCTTCAAGGTCGTTTGGTTTGTTATAATAGACTTTTGTTTTCAAAAAGTCCCAGAGATGAAAATATAAAAGGGTTAAAATTGGGCAAATGATAGGTCCTCCCCTACCAATCCAACACTCTGGAAAAGTTTGGTATAAAAACATTTTAACAATTCAAACACAGTGGGGTGGTGCTCCATCCTGTTGGAAGACAGCTCTTTGTAACAAGTCAAAAGTTTCTCAGAGTTGTGGAATAAAAAAACTCTTGTAGCATGTGTAGATATGAACTTCCAGTAACAGTTCATTCAAAGAAACAAGAACACAAAAAATTAATACAACAAAACAAAACTACTATTTGTACTTATATTAAATTTTTGTTGTTATCTCAAATAACAAGTTATTCAACTTTATTTTTGGTATAATAAGTTTTTGGACACCCTGTATATAAATATATGCACTTTTGATTTAACAATGTTTATTTTGAAAACCATTAGGAATTTTATACAAATAAAAGGAATGGTAAGTTAGAGGTACATATGTATCGTGCACAACATACAATCACTGTAAAAACACAATGTTAAAATATATTTATTTTATATAGAGACATTTCGAGCAACTGATATTCATCAGGCTTAAGATGAGCGTGTCCAGCACCAGATTTTGATCCAGAAATACATGTAATACTGTTAAAAGTAAAACAATTCAAAAGAGAATCAGAATTGACATGAAATTCTCTTATAGTTAGTGGTCAAATATGCTAAAATGACTTCTTATAACAATTTTATTTCATATTTAAAAGCCTTTTCTCTGGACAAAATACATATGTTTACCTTCTTGTTTCTATTGGCCCTATTGCCCAGATGGTAGAGTCAAAAAATTAAAATGTTTTTCTATGTATTTCAATGAGATACTTCTTGAATGTTAACTCAGTTAATGAATTTTTGTCACTTTTCTTGCCAGATCTCCTTTTGTGACTCGTTGGTGTTGTTCTTCATCATAAACTTACAAAGAATGAGAGTGGGTTTTTGCTGCAGTATGCCAAAAAACACAAAAAAAATCCTTTTTATAAAAAAAAAATATTGAAATTAATAACAAAGCATTTGTAGTGTAACATATCTGGACACATACTTAGAAATGCAATAAAATAAATTACAGTGTTTGTACAATTCTTATAAAAAGGTACCCTTTGTATTGGACAGTTTAATAAAAAACATCAAACATTCCAAAAGTAAGTGCAATATCCGATTTTTTTAGAATAAATGAATAAGCTGTAACTGCATAATTAAAATGTGTTTGTAGGTATAAGTATTTTGGCTTCTATTTTTGGCCTGGTGGTTGGGGTGTTCAACTCACAATCTGCAGATTTGAATCCCATCACCAAACATGTTCACCTTTTAAGCTATAAGGGTGTTATAACATGATGACCAACTCTACTATTTGATTATACTAGCTCAAGTGACTGCAGTGGGTAGTGTTGACTACATGCCTTCCCTCTAGCCTATTATTTCTAAATTAGGGACAGCTAGTGAAAATCAATACACAAGCTACCTTTTTTGACAAAATTACTTTGTTTGATGTCAAATCCTGGTAAATTAATGTATTTGTTTTTTTTTCTCTAGCTTTATTCATCTTTTTGTCTCTATATATATGATGAGTAAATTTCTGATAAAGTTACTCATTTTCCAAGCAAAATTTCAGTTTAAGCAACTGTTCATAACAGAATTAACCCACTTTACATCATCATAATTATTTCTATTCTTTTACTAATAACTTGATGTACTCTTCTTACTCAACTTTCACAGAACATTGCTTAAAGTTAGATCCTATAAATTTCTTGGTCAATAATCTTAAAATTTGGATAGAATCCACAAGAAAATTTACAATTTTGTCCAAAAAAAATGCAAGGTGTCAAACACAAATATAACTTAAGTTTAACAATTAATAAACCAAATGTCAATAATAAAATAATGAGCCTGTATTCTTTAGTGTCTAGAAAATATACAAAAACCAAATTTAACTTTCATAATAACTTGAGACTAATCAATAAATATATTACAGCAAACTATTTTTCCTTTGAGTTCATGATAAAATAAAAGAACAGATTAGTTCTATGATATTACTAATAAAAAATATGTTTTTCTTGTTATTTGTCTTAACTGTTAATTAATTATCCAATGAAAATAGTGTCAGATATCCAAATTGAGCTACACCTGGAAAATAGGTTTAATGTTTATACAATTTTACAATAAAAAAATCAATATTCATGTGACTATTTATTAACAGTTGCCAACATACAAAATATGGAAGTTTGTTTTAAAAACTTATGGAAATGGTACAAGAAATCAAAACTGATAAGTTATGGAAATCAGACTGAACTATGATGTTGCTTGTATCTTATTTTTTAAACAATTATTCTGATGACTTGAATATTTACATGTAAGTTTGAAATTCTTAGCTTAGTGCTTTTTGGCAATAGGGGAATACATAAACAAATTATCAATGGACTTGAACACGAGCTTCGAGCTTCTGTTGATATTCTTCTGCTTGCAGTTGCTCCAAAGTGAGCAAGGAAACACCCAACTGATCTTCCTGTTGATAAAAACATAAATGTACTAAGTTTAAAATGACATATCTCAGGAAAATTTCGATTATACATTCTACAGAAACACATTTTTAATACTTACACTACATTTTTGAACTGTCATCTAAATAACTTTCAGAGCATTAACATGACTACTAGTGATGACTAATAAAAAATTTATTTCATGTAAGCAGGGTGATCACGTTCCTTTTCATATTGTTTTTCTCTAAATTTCACATACACATTGATATTTTGGATAAACTGGAACACAGTAAATAAAAACAATAAACAATTCAACTTTCCTCATAAGTCTGCCTAACTAACACCACCTTAGCTTATGATGATGAGGAACCTACATGAATTAAATATATATAGTAGAGATGGCTGGGTTGATATGGATATTAAAACTTCTAGTTAAAACATAAAACAAGTAACAATTTAATAAATAATTAAAATAAACGTTTCATATTTACACAATTTTAAAAACTTAATTGAAACCATTAATGGTTTCCAGTTTAAAAATACACTCTAGATGTAGAATGTTTTAATGTTGTCTTCAGCAGTTATCTGCAAGACATACTAATTTATACATTTTTTTTCCATGTTTCGACCTCTTTGGGTCATCATCAGGTTAAGAACGACATTTACAAAAGTGACTGTTATTGATCACATGTCATGGGGACAACAGTAATGATAAGTATAAGATTGTAGGAGGTGTTGTATATATTGAATCTATCATATATATATATATATATATATAGAAATTATCATTTAAAGAAATAATTAGTATAGATATAGCAGTGTTCCTTGGTGTTCCTTAAGTTCTTATATTAGAAGAGCTTCTATGATTTTTTCTTTGTTTACATTTGTTTCTTTGCTTAATATGTTAGTGTTTTCTGTGGTTATATTGTGTTTATTTGAGATACAATGTTCAAAACGAGGAGGGTGTTGTTTTTTTTGTGTTCATTGAACCCAGTTTCCATTTTTCAGCTTGTTTCTCCGATACAGAAATCATGGCAGTTGTTAGATTGTCTTTTATAAATTATGTTATTATTCTATTCATTAGGGTAGTTTTTACATAGTATGGATTTTTATTTGGTACCTGGTTTTTGAATTAATTTATTGCTTATTGGAATGTTTAGTTTGGTTATAAGTTTTTTTCAAAATGGTGGTATCTGAATGTAAAGTATGCAGCAGTGTTGTGTTTTGTTGTTAGTTGTTTCATTAACTTTCAAATTGTTGGTTGGCTGTCTATTGTGTTGTTGGCTGTGGCTTCTGTGTATAATTCTTTTGATGGCTTTTGTAGAAAATGTATTCATGTTGAGAAAGTCTTGTTTTAGTTGACTGACTTATTCATTAAGGTTGTCAGGTGAGCAAAGTTCCATGCCCAGAAAAATCACTCGTACTGGGCTGCACATTCTCTGGAACTTGGCACAGCAAACAAAACAAAGACTCAACATACTAAAAAACCTAATAAACACAGCCCCAAAGTGGTCACTTTTTCAAATATCATTCTTAACTTGATGGTGAGAATGTTGATTCATTGTTAATTGTTTTGAATAAAAGTTTTAATACTCATATAAGCCATCTCTATTTTATATATATAAATATAAATGAATTAAGCAATTATCACCAGATACATTAACATACAGTGAGTGAGTGACCAACTATGTTAAAACATAACAATACCTCATATAGCTAAGCAGCATGCTTTGCATGCTCATGTGGGTTTGAGATTAAAAAAAAAAAAAAAAAAAAGAAGTCCACAATTCTTCCTGACTTTTCAAATTTCATGTATACTTTTTTTTAGATTCATGAAAATTACATATACAAAGTAAGCTTCAAAAAATGTTTAATTCTTCAGCTGAAATCTGAGACATGTTGCAACTGAAATAAATTATTCATAATTTCAAACATATATAAATACTATATTTAACTGTTAACTTACATATTCTTTACTTCTTTTATGCATGTTTAATAGTTGGAGTGAAAAAAATCAGCTAAAATCTAAGAATGGCTAAGAATGAAACATCTGGTAAACCTAATTAGTAATACCAACAAGAAAATGAAGAATGACTTGAGAACACAGTACATTTTGAACCTCACTTTATATCATGCAACAGTCTATAAAGGTATGTTAAGTTTTTGAATTTTAAATCTCACTCACTATTTTTTCTTATTTCTAACATCATGTACAACAAAATCACTCTTTAAAAATTATAACACATTTTCATATTACTAAGAAAATTAATTTTTAGGATTATTTCTCTGAATCTCTGACTATCACATAGAGAAATGTGTAATACCTTCCTAAATGGTTGTGCCATAACTCTCAGAAATCTTTTAGCAATTTGCACAGCTTCTTCAATGGAAAGGTTGCACATACTATCTTTCAAGGACTCCTGAATCCATTTGGGTAATTTTCCTCGTTTGTCTGCCCGAGAAAACCTCTACAATAAGAAAGAAAGAGGAGATGGGTACCTCCAATATTATACATGCACATTCTTCAACTTAACTGATATTACCAAGACATAATCTTTGATCTGGTTGTAATGCCAATATCTTTTTCTGTAAATGAAAATAATTTTGTATCATAAATATGAACTAAAAAATTGTTACAACAACATTTATGTATTTTATTGTTATCTTTAATACAGTTCTTTTGTTAAAAAAAAGTATCAGTATTACTCAAGTGGCAATTTTACCTTATCTGCAAAACACATTATTCCATAATCTGTTTTTCCCCGCAAGGCACGACCAACACACTGTGCAGCATGTCTCATAGCATCAAAAGTAAGAAAATCATTTTCTCTGATCTGGAACTGGTCCCTTAGATACTCAAGTCTGGCCTACAAGAAAAGAAGGGTTTGTGATGGTATAATTAGAGATTCCACATTTTTTCAAGTACAAAAATGTACATCTTCATGCCTATTTGTGTGATACAATACACTAACAGCAATTCACAAATATAAAGAAAATGTACATCTTCATGCCTATTTTTGTGATACAATACACTAACAGCAATTCACAAACATAAAGAAATTGTACATCTTCATGCTTATTTTTGTGATACAATACACTAACAGCAATTCACAAACATAAAGAAAATGTACATCTTCGTGCCTATTTTTGTGATACAATACACTAACAGCAATTCACAAACATAAAGCTAAATGTGTTATGATACAAGTATTCATTAAATGCACGCCTTCAAGAATGGCCACATAAGTAAAACTATCAAAGCCCAAGCACAATGCATGATCAGTCATATGTTGGTATCTCTCGGAATCACTGCAAATGACAATTGGCTCAACGTTTATAGAGATTTTGTCCTTTTAGTTATACTGAAAATCAAGCATTTATTGTTAGTTACTTAATTTATTTATGTTAACAAAAGAACAGTTTATCAATAATGGTTGTGCCATAACTCTCAGAAATCTTTTAGCAATTTGCACAGCTTCTTCAATGGAAAGGTTCCACATACTATCTTTCAAGGACTCTCGAGTCCATTTGGGTAATTTTGCTTGTTTGTCTGCCCGAGAAAACCTCTACAATAAAAAAAAGGGGGAGAGGGCTACCTCTGGTAATAAAAATGTGCACAATGTTGAACTTAACTAATATTACTAGGACATAATCTTTGATCTGGTTGATAATGCCAATCTTGTTTTCTACAGATGAAAATAATTTTGTATTATAATGTACTAAACATTGTGACACAATATTTATGTATTTTACAAACATAAAGCAAAATATATTATGGTATAAGAAGTCCTCATGTATGTATGTAATGCTGAAGAAAGTTTCTGCAAAGAGATATCTGTAAAATTTTCATAATATTTAAAATTAAACACTGTAACAACACTTTACACTGGGTCTCAAGTTTTATATAAAACAAATACTTATTAAAAATGTTGATTTTCTTGTTCATTTGCATAAACAAAATATAAAACACTTTTCTGTTAACTTTAATGAAACTTGGGAGTGAGCCAGAAGCAATAGTTTTTAGCTTTTTCTTTCACAGAAACTTCTTTGTGCAATGCCAGTCTTGTATGTTTATGTGTGTATGTGTGTTGTGTGTTTGTCAAAACATACACAAATGCGCTACATTTTGACTTTTGCAACAATCCAACAACTTAGAGAAATAACATAGAGAATACACATGCATAATTATATGTGTGTATGTAGGACTACTATAAAAAACACAGAACCAAGTATGCATGTATGTGTACATAAGTATACTTTGTTCTGTCATTGTACAATTACCATATATTGTTATTACTGTACAGTACAAGTGTGCAGGTATGTGTACGTAAGTATACTTTGTTCTGTCATTGTACAATTACCATATATTGTTATTACTGTACAGTGCAGGTATGCAGTAATGCAATTTTACTATAATTTTCAAGCAACTGTTAAATATCATGCCTTACATTTCTTTTCTAAACAGCCTGCTTTTTTTTTCCTTAATATAAAGCTTGTCTGCTGCTTTACCAGAACTATGTGATCAATAAATTAACCACCAGATCTGTTAATTTGTATGTTGTGTACCTTAATATATATATATGTATATAAAACCCCATCAATTACTCAGAATCACCAGTTTTCCAATTCATTGTTAAAAATAATGAAAAAGCCACACACTGGCATATTTTTATCCCACTTTCAGGTGATAATACAAGCTGGTCTAAACACATTTCAGGCTGTGCATCATGTGATGTATTTTTACTTCTTTTTAAGAGAATATTTAACATTACAAACTTCAAAGATTTGTAATTTTTCTTCCAGATCAGCATGGAATTCTGGTTGACAAACTTTCTAAGTCATAAGCACAAATTCCCCAATTTTTACAAGACATTCTTAAAATACTCTGTATTTTCACAAGATTCTTGTTATATTTGTTATCTTCAACAATGTGTTAATTTTGTTTTCTCATAATTCTTTTGTTGCTACTGATAATGATGACATGTTACCAAAGTGTTCTGTAGATGTCAATCTCACAAAAAACAAGATGCAAGTTTATTTAGTAAAGACAATGTTATTTAAACTATACAGGGATATTTATGATTTAATTCATGTGTTGGGTTTTCATTATGGACACTGAAGTGAAATACATCTCCTGTTCGATTATGGCAAATGACTCTTCTATTTACATATTTACATCGTGATGTCTCATATTTCTGTCTTTTCAGGACAGGCATAGCACTGCAAGCTTTATTTCATAGCTTAACAAAGTGTTTAACTTAAACAGTTTAATGATGGCTTTTCACCCTTGAACGCATAACTGATATCTAGCAATATGAATGTATTCTTAAAGAACAATACTATTCTAAATGTATGTATCTATTTATCATGGAGATGATTCTTTACAGTGAAACCATTAACAAAATCCTTCATTATTTATTAAAAATTCACGGTCCAAGAATCAGTGGTGTCATACATTAAGAATATTCATGATTTTTAAATAACCAGAGAATATGGGTAATGTGAGTTTTAAAACTAAAAAATTAATTATTATTTTTTTCATGTAAAAATAATTCAAAATAACTGCTATATATTAAACTATTTTGCTTAAAAAATAAAATGTATGAATGTCTTACCTGGTAAGAGTATTATAACCATTACACTAAGCTTCTAAAATTTCTTTAACGAGATGAGAATACTGAACATATACCAATCTACAGCTGTGCAGGTTCAGACAAAATAAAATTAAATAAATAAAGTTGTATTTCTCTATAAAAGGAATTTATCAAAACAAGAAGATACATATAGATACATACATTGTGTGTGTGTGTGTGCATGTATACCATCAACCATCAGTATTTTATTCTTAATGAATAAATATGCAATAGTTGCAGATTAATACACTCTGGCTTAGTGAATCTGTCAATTATAAATTTGGGATTTTACATAAACTGCAACAGTTGTTCACAAAACAAATAGAATGAAATCTCCCTCGAGTACTGTATCCACAAAATAAATCCAAGTATCTTGATATTTTGGTAAGGTGTAGTGTTTTATGTTATAAAAAACGTGTTCTATATCACAGTTTCACCAACCTTGTTAACAAGTCAAATATTCTAAGAGATGACTCATTTTTATAAACAGTTAAGTAACTTTTCTTGTTGGCTACAAATAAAAACGTGATAAATACACTATTTCCAAGTCTAATATCACTTGTAGAGTTTGAGTACAATAACAATGAATCTCTGAAGACTCACTCAAAAGCAGAAATTTAAAAAGGATTAATCCTATCAATTTCCATTGTAAAAAGCTTCCTTTGATAGAATTAATGATCCTAATCAGTTGCTTGGTTTGCATATAATTTTATATGTTGTTATATGTATTCTACAGGAAATAAAAACAGGTTATGAGTATGTTTCCTTCAAAAGGTTGCATGTGCACTATCAGCTTCAGAAGGTTACACTTGCACTATCAGCTTCAGAAGGTTACACTTGCACTATTAGTTTCAGAAAGTTGCACTTGCACTATTAGTTTCAGAAGGTTGCACTTGCACTATTAGTTTCAGAAAGTTACTCTTGCACTATTAGCTTCAGAAGGTTACATGCACACTATTAGCTTCAGAAGGTTACACTTGCACTATTAGCTTCAGAAGGTTACATGTGCACTATCAGCTTCAGAAGGTTACACGTGCACTATCAGCTTCAGAAGGTTACATGTGCACTATCAGCTTCAGAAGGTTACACTTGTACTAAAATATTTGGGTATAGTTAGAGAACTGTGGCTTTCTTTACATATAAAAAACAATCAATTTTTGATATTCTTAGCCCATAGAAGGTAGTAAAGGCATTAATAAGTAACAGCAGTAGAATACGACTTATATTTTGAACATTTGTTTCATGATATAAGTTATAAAAATATGGGTGCCTTGAGTTCCATGTTGCTTTTTTTACTTCATTCTAATATCTTCAACATGCAAGTTTGCAAAGTCATATGACAGTGTTCAGACTATTTAAGAAATAACCTGACCCATTACTACTTAGAAACAGATGTAAAACTTACCTTTAGTATTCGACTCTGTGTGTATACAAAAGGTATGCCAAACATCAATACCGCCCGGCCTAAGTGGTGATCTGTAGGTCAGAACAAAAAAAAACTAAATATTTTGCCCTCTCAAATTATGTGAAATATTAAATCAAGTGTTAAGGCATTGAGATCATCTATTGCAATAATTAAACTAAATAAAACAATCTACCAAATGATACATACTATATAATCAAAAGTAGGAGGCCACTACATACTGAGAAAAGGACTGTTATGCTTTTCTATTTGAGCCCTATGTTAATATGGAATAGGTCCCTACCTTTGTCATTAACTACAGCCTGGATTTCATTACTAATATAGATCTGTCATTAATATTTAAAGTACAAGGTTAAGTTTCAAAAATAGAAGGGGGTCTGGGAGTCCTCCCCTAGCAGGAGTTCAGGAGGTAGAGCACTGTGACAGAAATTGAATTTTAAACAATTTCAGGTCAGCTAAATCTTGTTTCTGAAGCTAACTTTTAAACATTTTTGGACAGCTAAACCTTTGGAGCAACATTAAAATTTAAAAACTTCTTTCACACAGAAATCATATGATTCCTTCATATATTTCTCATACACATGTTTCACGAAATCAGAACAGAAATATGACTACAAACTGTGTTTGTAAGATTATATAAATGCAAATTAGTAACAAAGTTCTCAACTATATAACATTAGGGTTGCTTTGCAAAAAATAGCTAGGTCTGGATTCATATTTTAGCAGGTGGAAATCCCTGGCTTCCAGGGCATTTTGACAACACTGCTAACATTTGTCACCATCCAATAGCATACGTATAGAATAGTACAAGGGAATTCTTCTTGAATAGCAGCTATAAATGTTGAGATTTTGAAATATATAATTTCTTTACTACATATAAAGTTCCATTATATCTCAGGACAGTCCATTCAGATTCAGATCAGAGTCTCAGTTAGCTAACACAGATTATGGATATTATTTATCTCAAAACATTGCAGGACATGATGTAAAGCTTAACATAATAAATTATCATAATATAGTCCTTTCTCATAGAATTCCATCAATGTTCAGTGTAACACTGTCCAAAAGGCATTCATGGCTCCTGCTATTATAACCCATAATAACCATACTATCTCCCCCTACTGTTTGTCTGCAATAGTTGCTGACCTTGATAGATCTTATGTAGCAATACACCATAAAATGTACATGTAAATTCAGTAGGAATGAACCCCCTTAGTAGCCAGAGATATGTTAACACAATAGTTGTACACATAAAGCCCCATTCTGTACTAACATGTAATAAACTGTGGTTCATATCCAAAAATACAAACTAATAGCTTAAGAAAGTTCAGTTAAAAACTCTATAACCCAAGAAACATTTATGTCATGTACACATTTAAATTGGATTTTTTTAATCACATTTATTGTTACTTGCTCTTGCTTTTAACTTATAATTACTCTCACAAGTAGTCCAACAACAACAAAAAAATTACAATTAAAAGTCTGAGAAACAAGTAAAACTGATGGTGCCAATGGATCCTAGTAATGAGGACTTTAAACTAGAGTAAGAAATTTAATGGCAAGTTTTGAACCTTTAATGAAAAAATCAACAAAACAGAAGACCTGAAAGTCAATAATGTTTAAGCATATAACATGGTGAGGTCAAACAATTGTAGAATAAAACTCAAATCAAATATGGGACCTCTAAATAGGACAGTATTTTATAGTATAGTGTATTTGATAATTTGTACTCCATAGGCTACGAGTGTGAAAGGATTAACTATTTCAGTAGAAACTGAGAACACAGGCAATTATCCTAATATTTAGATGCTTTTACTAAGCTTTACAAGTCACATGCCCTAAACATGTTAAACATGAACCTATATGATTGATATAACTGAAAATGGTTCACTTGTTTATAAGTTGGAACATAATTTAAGTAAAGTAGAACTGTTAAATGTATATGCCTACAAGATAAAAAACCTTAATAACAATAACAGCACACACACACACACTGCCCTGTCAAAATTATCTGTACACAATAATATCATGGCAGTTCTGTATCCAGAGGCATAATACTGGTAGGCCCTCTTGTAGCAAAAATAACTGCAGCAACCTGACACAGCATGTTTTCAACTATTATGATAGCCAGGCATTGATTGTCTTTCATGCAGCCTTCAGATTTTCAAACAACATTGCGCACTGGTTTCAGCCAGGGCTGGATTAAGGGCTTATGGGGCCTGGGATAAATTTTATTAATGCACTAAAATTCGTAGGATAAAAAACAACTTATTTAATGGAAATATCCTATCTTATAAATGGTGAATAAAGAGCTTTTATACACTGTAAAGAAATAACTTTCCATTGTTTAGTTGTTTATGTAATCTATTACAGCTGCCTTCACATTCCATGATAATTAATAATTAACAACAAATCTGATGTAGACAAAACATGAATATTGACATGCTAGATACATCAATTTTTTGGAACTAATGATAATTTATTTTTGTGCCATCCATGTCCTAGAAGCATCACTGAATCACATGAATTTCATTGGCTTTCCCAGTTTTTGTCAGCAAAATGAAATTCCCTGATGTTTACAGGGCTGGAAACATAAAATATAAAAATTCACTAAATGTTCTTGGTTTCCCAGTTTTTTATGGAAAATGCTGAACAAGTAATTATGGAAGTGAAAATGACATTTCTACTTACATTATTGCTGCTACAGATACCTCTCTGATGAGTGTAATTTGTTCAAGCAACTTTTTGCTGGCCAAGAGTTTTTCATAAAATTCTGAGTAATCATTAATTTTTATCCTTCAATTACTTTAAATATATGAACCATGATTGAAAAACCAAATATCGACTGTGAACAGCACCTGCCATTTGCATTCAATTGTTCTCTCACTCTCCTATTTTTTTTAGCAGATGCAAAAACCATGTGTTCAGTAATGTAAGAAATAGTGACATAATGTCATCTACTAAAACCTGCCTTTAATATAACAAACTTAAAAGAAAGCAGCAAAGACTGTGGAGTTATTTTGAGTTGTGTAATAATTTTGTAATCCAGTTAAAATTTGTTTCTGTCGATTCATGGTTCTCAGAGGATCAAATACTCAATAAATTTACTAGAAAAGCTGCAGATTACTGAAATAATGAAAAACCAGGCCATCTAAGCATCCCAAAATGATCTATCAGGACAGTGGGACAACATTCCAAAATTGCAGATGACTGGTCACTTATAAACTTATATATTATATACTTATAAACCATCAGATGTAATGTCACTCCTTCACCTGCACCCAAATCCTTTACTGCTGGTACATCTCATGCAGTTGTCTCCTGACTTAACCATGTCCATTAGTTTGGAATCATGTGAATCAGCTCTCATCACTGAACATCATGTTTGCTCACTGGCAAAATCCCATTGTTTACTCTCAGTACATCAGGCCAGACAATGTTATTCATTAAGTGGTAAAATGTGTGGTTTCCTCTTTGTAGCCCCACCCCCACCTTGAAGCCACGTTCATGCAGTGTCTGTTGCCTATTGTGTTGTGATGGTATCTAGTAATTGCTAATGAGTAGGCTACCAACAATCATTGCATGGATCTCATGAAAACTGGTCTTGCAGTACTTCTTGACCAGTGGTACAAATGCCCATTTGTCCTATTTTGATATTGCCAGAAGTCTATCTGGACATTGTTCAGCTGTTGCTCTATCTTTAGTTCCATATTTTCTGATGATGCCAGTCATGGCACTGTTCATATGTACCAACTTTTGGTACACGACACTCTACATTGACTCTCCTTCTCAAATGATGTGAACTAGAAAGTTTCTACTAATCCTAAAAAGTACTTGACTTCCGATTGAAGAAGTACGTTACCTTTGATTTATAGTAAAAGCAGCTCAGATTTTTGGGAAGACCATTCCTACAACTAAAAAAGGCGTCTGAACATTTTTGGTACGATAGTGCATACCATAATAAAATTGTACCCTTGTGATAACTGTTCCTCTGATAAACCATATGACTGATTGTCTTTATATCCTCACAAAATATAATATTCTTATACATGAATACTATAGATCAAGTCCTTCTGAGTACAAATATAATTAATTCAGTAGAAACTTAGCTATAGCTGCATTGTAAATGAAAAAAAATAGTACTTTGAAACCTACAAACAGACTTAAAGTTGAAAGTATCATATTTAAAATATGAATAGTCAAACTTACTATTCAATTGTTTAGCTTTCACAGACTTTTTAATGCTATGATAGAAATATACTGTATATCAAGATGTATAAATTACAATCATGATGTTAGAAAAACAGGTACATTTAACACAAAAATACGATACCCTATGACCCGAGCACTTTCCAAAAGTGAACCTTTCTTCTTCAAGAGCAAACTGGGTATGACCGTGTAAAACACAGGGGAGATAAAGTGAAGTTTGAGTGACATCATGCAGGTCTCCATGGAAATCTTGAAGTGTTTTGAGTATCGTTAACTGTATTGTTATAAGTGTGTCTCATTTCCAGTGCAATACTATCAGAAAGAAGAATGTTAGGTATAAAGAAGTTAGAGATGTATTGTTTTAAAAAAAGAAAAATTGTCATGGAAAACTACACTGGGTGTTGATAAAGTACAATAAATGTGAGATATGAAGACTGATTTATAAAGAAATGTTAAACATATATAATTAAAAAATAACAGAAATTATCATAAAGAAACAATAAGTGTTAGAAGGATTAGGGGTAAAAATTGAAAATCTACACTGCATGGACAAAAAACTTTGACAGAGAATAAACTGATGATGAAAAATCACTGATTCCAGGATCTTGATATATTCCACAAAGTTGAACAGTATTTACAGTTGCAGTCCAATAAGCTTCTTTTATCTCTCTATCAACTTCAGTTTTGAAATCAGTTTAAATACCAATGAAAATCACATTATTATTAGAATGAGCAGGTTGGTTAAAACGTTGGGCAACAGAGAGGTCTTTTTCAGTGTTAATAGAATATTTATGGCTGTTGAAACAGTCTCTAAAGTCATTTGGGAATATCCTACATACTGGTCATTGCATTTTTTACACTGTACGAGATAAATGGTATTCTGTGTTGTGCATGTAACTTCTTCAGAAATTTTAAAGTATTTATGGTCATATTTGTCAGGAAAAAGAGTTGGTAGTTTTAATAAACTTGCAAGTTAGATAAGGAGCTTTAGTATATGGATGACAACCAGTCTTTCATGGGATGTAATTCATTTCGACAAGGACAAGGATATCTTTAAGACAGGATTATCTTTATATTCCTTATAAGATATCCTTTATAAAGTATATCTTTATACCTACACATACTTGCTTCTGTTAGTATTGCAATGGAACAGAGACACTTGTAACAATACATTGAAAGCTACTCAAAACACTTCCATATTTCCATGATGGCCTGCATGACATCACTCAAGCTTCACTTTATCTCCCACTGTGTTTTACATGGTCATTCCCCAAGTTGCCTTTGAAGAAGAAAGGTCCACCTTTTGTAGGCTCTCAGGTTATAGGGTATTGTATCTTTGTTTTACAAATTACAAGATATTCATCACAAAAACACTTTTAAATCACATTCTGTATACTGAAAATAACATTTGAAGGTGAGATGTAAAAATTCTTACTATCAATTCAACTTTGATAAACAGATAAAATTTCTAACTCCCAAGAGGTGAGGCTGTGCTTTGTGTTAAAATATTTAACCACGTTAAAGAAAGTCTGGAACCCAAAGAGAGACAAAACACAAAATCTCTAAAGTTAAATTAAAATTGTACTTTATTTCTACAAATCCAAAACAAAGGATGTAACAAAAAATATGAAGTTTATAACCTATAATTTGAAAAATTAAATTGAAAATAAACCTTCTAATTATTCTTGAAAAATTTTACATTTTTAGGATTAAAATTAAATACTAAAAGCCTTTATTTGTTGAGTTTGTTTTCATTCTGCCAACAATTGTGTGGCTTTAGGTTCTGAATGTCCTTTACACAATGAAGAGCATTTGTCAACTTTCTCAGAGCCAATCATTCTCCCATGTGACTTACTGCACATGCAATAGGAGAACATAACATAGAAAAACTCATCTGCTAGGGTTTCCATCTAGTTTAAAACATCACATCAAGAGGCAAATGGAATCTCGAAACTGAAGAGACAGAAATATGATGCAAAAATAAATTTTTATATGTCCACATGCTGGACTGCAGAATATCCTCTAAAAGGTACTGTATCCAGATGCCAAAGACATTGACAAGTGGCAAATATGGTAAGATGTAACCAAAAATTCACTTTTAAGGTATTTGGGAACATCACAATGACCAAAATGAATCAATTGCACAAGCCAATTAGTTAGTGTGCCTAGAGCAAGATCCAAAGAGAATGATTCATAAAAAGGTATACACAACCTTTTCCAAGAACCCCTGAAAGATTTGTGATGTTCATGAAAACAACAAAAGCTATGACAATACATAAATCATGATCAGTCAAACCAGGTAACAAAAT